ACAGGAAAAGTTTGTAGATAAGGATGGGAGCTTCATCACAGTGCTTTGACAGGGGCGGGCGCAGCCGGATAAGCCAGCTAGTTACAAATATAGTACAGGCAGCATAAGGGTGCAAAGTGCAAATGTTAAGCTGGAAGCCGTTTTGATTGGAAAAAAAATACAGAAGATAAAGTAAATACACGTTCGTACCGACATAGGCATTCTTTAATAAGTTGTTGCAAATTGACGTGTACTAATACGATCTTCCTCAAAAAGTCATCTTTAAAAAAAGCGTTTAGCACTATACAGTAAACTTTCTGCCTTGTTTACAGAGCACAAACAACGATATGATACCAAATTTGTTATATAGGATATCATAGGAAACAGTCCACGAAGTGAGTTCCGTTGTCAACTAACTGCTAAAAGTGCAGGCTTTTTTGGCCGAGCCCGAGTTTGCTGTCTGAAGCGTGCATAAAATGACTTCTTCCATGCTATTTGCTGTTCACCCGCTTGTCCAGCAGTGACTTTGCCCATCATGCCTGCAAAATCTTCTTGAAGTCTGTACTTGCTTTATTTCCTGGTGCACAACCACTTGTAACAGACCTGCTCCTAAATCAGCTTCTGCGTGATTTTGGGCGCGCTGATCGCTGCACTGTAGAAGGCGCGTCAAAAACGCAATTGTTTCTGGTTCGTGCCTTGAGTTGCAAGTCTTTCTGCGTGTCCTAATAGTCATCAGTGGGTTGTTTGTGTGTGTTCCTCTGATCCTATGGTTTTTCCTTTTTAGTTCCGATTTGGTAAGTTATCGCAGAGTAACTTGAATAGCTCCCTTATTTTCAAGATCCCACTATATAAAACCTGTTCGGCATAGCAAAATTGAAAACTATCACCGTAAATTCACTAGTTCTTCTCCTTTTACTTGGTGGTTTGGACCTAGTCTAGACCTCTAATCAACGCTGAAATATTCTTGAAATTAACAAACTTAGATTTATTGAACGACGCAAGTAAATGCCAATGCTACATCAGAGATCTATGCTGCGGTTCTCTTACACAGAAATGTTTCATTCTAGCGACTACGTAGTTCGAGGGTGCCTGGACAGATTCCAGTGATTTATGAGGACTTAGTTTATCGTAGCACATCTGTTAAACATTGCACCTGGCCCTTGTTTTAGACAAACCCCACATTTTTTCTTGTCCGTCAGTTCTCCAATCTGCATCTTAATCAGGATATTTCTTTTAACCTTTCGCAGTTATACCTCTCGAAAAGAGAAATAAATATCCACTTTCTGTGGGAGCTATCACATTTAAAAATCAACTTGTGCAATGATTTTGAATAACTTTTGCGGTTTACATGTTATTGGACACAGCCTTAGTTCCCGAATTCCAATAGATTTTCAAAATTTATGAAGCTTACTTGCAATACTTCTCAAATTGTACCAATAAAAAGCTATCGTCTTGTACTTTCACATTTGTAATTGATTTTTTCTTATTCACATTTGTAATTGTTTTTTTCTTAACCACTCGACGAAGTAAAGTTCAGGTCATGTTTATTATAGAAGCCATTTCTGATTCCATTTTATTATCCGCGTACCTGTCCAATTTTTTTAAGAAAATTTGTTTCCATTCATTCAAGAGGTCTTATTTTTTACAAGCCAAACAGAACCTCTGGTCATGGGTAATGTCTCAAAGAGCATTTACTTAGGCTGAAATGAACAAAGACAAACTAATCACGCCTTTCCGACATAGTCAAAGACGGTATCATTTGTCTTCTGATTGCAAAACAACGATTCCAAACATTCAATACCAACAACAGTCTTCCAACATCTTATGTGTTTGTATAGCGTCGTGTTAATACTTAAGTTTGCTATTTCTTACGGCATTGCAAGGCGAACTTGAGAATTGCTACTCTAGCTCACACAATATCTGTTTGTTGTAAAATCTCTTAGCAATATCTTCAAATTTTTTTATACCAGTCCTTCGTATCAACATTTATAACAATTCTACTTTGTAAGCACATTCTTTTAGGTTATCAAGAAAACCATGTCGTTTTTTTTCGGGCTTTTTTCGGATAAAATTGATCTCACTCGAGAACTAGAGCATATCTGAGGTCAGGTTGAAGTGACGAAGCTCTGTAGTATACGAAGGCCTATGTAGGAGGGGCCCAGTACACTGGGAGCGGAGTCTGCCATTTTCCATTTTTCAATTTTTCTCGGTTTCTAAGCATGGAAAAAATATAGCGAGTATACCTATAGATAAGTACATGTGTCTTTTACACGCAGGAGCAAGTGAGAAGTTTGCGGGATTTTCTAGGGCGAAAATCCAATTTTTGGCATCACGAGTTGCTCGTATGTTTTGGCTCCTCTGAACAAGAAACAACAAGTTCTACCAACGTTCGGATGTCACCTTGTAGAGCTTTCTTTGTTCTAACGAATGGTACCCCTCACATATTTTTTGGATCTGTCTTATGGCTTATGCTATGAAAAACGACATTATTTTCTTGACAACCTAATATGTGTAAGCAGAGATTAATACAGCTGGCAACCCTTCCAATGGATGGCGTAATCAGGCCGTGCAAATTTTGGTGCGCCTAAGCATTTACCGCTCTTGCTGCTTACGTAGTCTTTGGCAAAGATAAGTTCGAAGTCTAAACTTTGAACTTCACGCGTGCGGCTAGCGAATTCTACAGAATTTAGGGCGATAAGATAGCCTATAAATGCTTGATTTATAGCTGTTATGCCTAGGTAACTTAGTGCACAATTTACTACTTCCCTCTCATTGGGCCTTAATTCAAATAAATCATTTGTTCTACCTTAGCTCAGCAACCAATAGTCTTTTTAAAATTCTGAAAGCCAAATAAATGTTGTTCTGCGAATTTTTTCAACATACTAGGGCAAAATCATATAATGACTTTTTTGGTTTATTAAGAGAAAAAAATGTGGTTTTTGTATGTTGTCTGATATGGAATTATCCTTATTGTACTTTCTGATTATGTCGGAAAAATTTTCCCTTTGTTCGTAACATCTTGCACTTTATTCCGAAAGATTGTATGTGTGTCAAGGAAAGACTCCCTGGGCCATTTAGCAGTTGCCTAGGTGCAGATCCAGAAAAGATTTCTAGACGTAAATTTGAATAATTTTTTGAAAGAGCATGAGAAAGAAATTTCTGCTTTCGCCACGCAATGGCCAAACAACAGCTTCTTATGTACATGCCATATGCTGCTGTAATAAGTTGTTCTTGAGACAAATATTGGTGAAAGGGTTATGTCGATTGTAAAAATCGCAAAGCACGTCCTTTTTAATTTGTTCACCTGAATTGCCTATATGAACTGCATTCGAACAAGAGTTAATTGGACACGCATTGGGCAAACACGACGACAGAGCACTCCGCCGACACTGACCTCGAAGATTTTTCAGCCATTCGTCCTTTGCGCTCGGTTCGAGGCCTGCTGCAATTCACTCAGTTTGCTGCGTTTTTTCGAAATCATTTTTCGAGCAAACGACGTTTCTTAAAACCTTGGTATGCAAGACTAAAAAAATTTTCAATGTGTAAAAAATTTTCGACCAAAAGTCTGTTTTCTTCCTTGTTTATCACAAAAGATCTCAGAGTTTCTTTCGTGCCGCTATGAAATATCAAACCATGTCTCAGCGACCTTTTCATCTCATTCGGAATTTTATTTACAAAATCTATCCCAATCTTCGACTTTGAGAACAATTTTATAAGTTTAACGGCTATGCTTTTAGATAGGAACGTGAAATGAACGGGAAACAATTTTACAATAAATTGTATAAACCTGTAAATTCTTTCCTGTTTTCATTACGACATGTTTTTCCCGAAAACGATCCCTTACAGTTTTTGAGTTTTGACAACATTGACTTAAGGACTCTCTATTGCTCTCACAAAGAAGAGGGTGTCAGGAAAAGGAGTAAGGAATGAAATATCTCAGTTAAGTTCGCGGAATTATGATCTCGGAAAAATTCGAAGTTTTGCCAGTAGTTCAGTCCTTTTCCATTTTGTTTTCTTTTCACATCTTTAAGTCACAAATTTTGGAGCAATCTTAGGAAAAGGAAAAGCTGAAAACAATTTGTCGGGGTTTGTAACATAGAAACAAGAAATCATACGCTTCTTTGCGTTCCTTCGCACATTACGCATACTTTACAACAATACGCACTTCGTCAGATGCATTCTGACATCTCTTCTACTTCTACTTTTCTTTCGTTGAAGGTTTTGTACAATAAGATTGGAAAATTCTGTGTGGCTTGGACAATCCACCTCCAATTTTCTGTTTTTCTTCCTTGTCCTTCATCTATTCAAAGGCACTGCCAGTGCGGTGCGAATCGATGAAACGTTTTTCTGTGGACTACAGCCTGCAACAGAAGAATGAATGAATTGCTATGATCATAAATAATTTCGGCAAAAAATGATGGATCCTGATTGGTAACCATATTTGGATGTTTGAGAATGGTTGCAGCAATTGGAAAATATTTGATCTGCAATGAAGCTTAAACGATGAAGGACATTGCTTAGTGACTATTTTAGAGTAATTTTGTAAAATATTCACAAATATAAAATTGGAATGAGGAACTGCATCTTTAGATATGTTAGAATTCTCAAAACCAAGCAGAAAATGCAATTCTCGTTTGCTCTTCCTTGTTTACCCAGCAAAATGTTATGACTAATAGAACATCTATTCCAGTGATGTTAAAGTTAAAAATTGATCAATCAGCTTTGTAATTTTTCCTGTAATTTTTTGATAGGATAAAGCGACGTATATTGACAAAACATTCAGCACTCCATTTTACACTAGTCATATGATGATTTAGCCTAGATGTATTTGCACTTTACGACACAATGTTTTCTAGCGGACATCTGCCCTTGCAAGAAAGATAAACGCACCGGCGATACTAGTTCCTTGTTGTTTATTTGTTCACCAATATATTCTCCTATAAACTGGCTATCCTGACCTCATACCGTACTCATCAAGCGCTTTTTCTACTTGAAAGTGTAGTTTGTTTTCAGATAAAGCGATGAAGCGGTTAACAAGAATCGGCCTTGGATTGCTGCTTTTTAGCACAATTGTAAGTTATTCTGTATTACTGAGAACGATTTTGTTCTTCCATTATTCTCAGTAGTGGCAGTCATTCCAATGAAAAACTTTTTAGGGACGGACAGATTGGGGCGTTGTCAAATTTTTTGCAAGTCTACGACGACTCTCAAATTCATAAAAAGTGGGGGCTAGCCAAGAGATTTTTCCACCAAAGCTAAAATTTGAATAATATAAAAAATATCTTAGGATTAACCAGTAAATACAGTTCGATTTGACAATTGTATAACTTGTGTCTGATAATAGAGATTTAGATATTATTGAATTTTTCTCACTCAATTTTGCAACTACTTCCTATCACAAAAGTGTGCAGCAGATTGTTTTCAGAATGAAGTTTTTTCCAGATCTTCGCTCAAAAAGCCTTCAACGCTGAAGAATGCGGTAAAACGAAAGGGTGTTACATTCCTCAGCCTGGGCTAGCATTCTCCTATCAAGTCGTCTCCGACACCCACATAGAGGTCGAGATGAGCGCTGATGTGGAGTCCACTAATCATTTCATGGCAGTTGCTTTTGGGAGCGGTGCTCCTGATACGGTTGGTTATTGCTCATAAACGTACATCATATGATGAAACGGCTGAGCCATGAAATTAAGTGTATCAATGGCAGAAAGGGGGTGAAGGTGGGAGGAAGAGAGGCAATGCAGCTAAATCTCAGTTTTGTGCAATAATAGTGACTTATTTCTTTCATCTACATATCCGCAAGAAGTCTTCGAAACCTCAAAAATGATCCCCAATTTTCTGTACAAAATCGATAACTCTGAGGTAGAGAGAGAGGTTGAGACAGAGGTTTTTCCCACCCACGTTCATCAACATCTTTTTCTTCGTGAATTTTTTTTTCGTGTCTGAGCTTCCCACAATTCTAATTTTTGTAAGCTGACAAATGCCAACGTTTATCTCTTCCTCTCTAATATATTTTCTATATCTACACTCACTTTTTTTTGAAATTGTTTACGTTCATTTTTCTAGCCCACTATTGAATGCTCTGCTGTGAATGGCTTGCCACCGACTATAAATGCGCCTTCCGCAAAAGACTGGTTGAGTACAGTGAGTTGTTTGAAAATTATTATTTTGCCTATTAGTTGTTATGGGAGGATTCATGGAAGAAAAGTATCGTGTATCATTTCGAAAGAAATATATTTTGTTTTGTTTCAGAGCACACAACGAGAATTCTACTTTTCAAATATTACAACATCGTTTAATAATGGTACACTTTACTGTCGTACCAAAGTGCTTGTCAAAGGACATGATGATCCAAATGTGAGTTTAATTTCGCTGTCAAATTGCACTAGCTGATAAGTTCTCCTCTTAACACTTGGATCACTAACAACTGGATGGGAAATTTCTGGCAAACAAAAACTCCCGAAGTAGTTTGAAGATACTTTTCGAAGTCGATTTTCTCTTTTACAGCGCAGTGAGAAATTCGCAATCGTTCATGTCAGAAATTTTTCACATTCAAAGCTTTGCTATCTCACCTAGTAGCCTAAGCCTTAGAATTAGCTTAGTTTTACATAGAGATCCCTTTGTCCAGTACGATCGCTGGCAAAAGATCCTGGAGAAGATCGCTGCACGAAGCTCTCGCTCCTTACCCTTAGTCACCCCGCCGACGTCATCCCTCTTGTAAGACCAATAGAAGCTTAGTTATAGAAGAATAAGTGTTTAGTTTGCTGTAGAGAATCTTCCAAAGCTAAAAATATGCTCTTTGCAGTTCCTCAGCTACGATCCGTCCGCTCAGTACACAATCACGATCACGGAGGGACCAATTGAGCAAGGTAAGATAGATCTGCATCATATCACACACTCTTGAGTAAATATTGAGTGAGCCGGATGCGAATGGAAAGGAGGTTGGGGGGGGGGGGGGGGGACAAATGTCAATTGGGAAGATAAAATCATGTTAAAAAATTCATTTTATAAAAAAATGTGTTTTTAAGTGTTTGACTATCGTTTTTTTTTTGGAAAACATGGCGCAAGCTTGAATAAAATTCTTAAGAGTGTTTGGTAGTTTTACTGAAAACACAGTTTCTTTTTTGGCGCACAAGGAATGTACCAGAGAAAATTTTTCACAACTAAATTTAACTTTTTGAAAGAAGTATGGATGAGCATGGTAAAATTGCGGGTTTGTTACTTGTTTACTTCTTTTCTATCTGATCTATTTTCTGAAAATCTAGGCGAGAGAATTGTGGAAAAAAGATTTACATCAAGTCCATTAGCTCTGAATGCCCCTGTACTGAACCCCCCACCATCCAAGCAGTATAGTCTAGATGTCACAACAAGGCGAAGATTGGTCAAAGCGCATGGTAAGTTCGAAAATCATTACGTCCAAATTTCTGCATTTTCTCAACATCGCCAATTTAGCTATTCTCATGGTGCTTGCCTGGTTTTTCTTCATTCCGACAGCGTTCCTATTTGCTCGATTCTTGAAAGCTGCCTTCAGAGGTGTAAAACCTTGTGGAGTTGCCCTGTGGTTTCAGGTCAGCCAGCATTTCTTTATACTTTGACAGATGGATGTGGACCTTATTTTTGATGAATTATATCTGATACGAGACTAACTCATGCACTTGTACTCATGTTTGCATGTATGCATTTATGCTTCTAAATATGTAGTGTACATATATAGGGTTGGCAGGACAGTTTCGCCCTTTGTGGCGAACTCCGCCCACCCATACTCCGGCAAATTTCGGCAACTGGGAGCTTGCCACTGAGAGACAGCCGGAGTTGAAGTCGGTTGTACTTTCGCGGTCATCTATGATGTAAATTGTGCACGAGGGATCTTGTAGAGGGTACTAGGATGGGCGGAGTTTGCCAAGAGGGAGCGGAGCTAAAATAAGCTCAAAATAGAATGGCATGTAAAGTTCTATAATGAAGTGAAGACGAAAGAAGAAAATCAACTGCAGGAGACAAACATATGTTTTCTTGCTTTCTAAGCCAAATCCATTTCAGGTCCATCGGGTCAGCAATCTTATAGGAATAGCAATGATGGTTGCGTCTTTTGTGTGCATATTGGTGTGCAAAGACTGGCGATGGACTGGTCCAGGTGAGCAGAATATCAGGAAGGTCTAGGGCAGTGCCTAAAGTCAGAGTCTGGTAATTTTATGGTCTTCGATGGGAGGAGGTTTTGACTGAATTGTGGTCAATAACTTCTTGGGACTCCAAAAGGTTTTTTAAGTATTTAATACAATCAGATTACCTTGTCTGAATATAATGGTAGATAATTGAATTTCAAGCGCAATTTGAGCTAATCAATATTAGATTTTAGGGTCATCAAGTAAATATTGGACACAAATCCATACTCTGCTAGGCCTGATCTCGTTGATCTTAGCTTGGTTGCAACCCTTTGGTAGCTTGCTGAGGTAAAACAATTAATTAAAAATTATTAATTAAAAAATTTTTGTGGTACGGCCTTGACCCGATAGTTTCCAGATGTGCGCCAGTCCATCCTCTACGACGCATGTTCAACTGGAGTCATCGTCTTATTGGAGTCGTGGCTTTTGCCCTCGCAAGTAAGAAATACATCAGAAGAAAGGACAAATATGTAAAATATAAAACCATTTTAGCTGCTGCAACGGCAATCACGGCGTTACAGTTCAAAATCTGGCAACAACATGAGCTACAACTTGTGCTAGTGCTTTCACCATCAGTTATACTCATAACCCTGGTCGTTTTATTCATATTCTTGAACAGCACAGTGGATAGGCATGACCATGACAAGGGAAATGGCGATCCGGTTAGTTTACTGCATCTCAGGCTGCGTCCAGAGTTGCACGACTTTCCCGTGCCAGCGCCTTGCCAGCGCCGTCGTGGAGCCACGCTGAAATCCGAATGGACGCCCCCTATAAACCCCCGCCGAAAAAGTTCTGGCACGGTGCTGGCACGGACTCTGAGTGCAGCCTGAACAACGTTCTTCGCATTCGCTGATAATCTAATAATGTTTGCAGTTGAAATCCATCCGACTGTCGCTGGTATTCTTCGCCCTGGGACTGTTGTTGACAGTATCTATATGGATGACTGTACTTTTGGCCGATGGTTACAAAAACGTGGTGAGTAAAGACATGACAAAATCAGGAATGTTATGTAACTATTCATGAAAGTTGCAGCCTTGATGCAAGCCAGCCTTTAAGAAGTACCTGCATTCTTTTCCACTTCTACTATATCTCAGTCTGTTGTGGTACCTGCATGGTCACATAAGTCAGAGTAGAGGACAATAGGTTGTCAAAAAGGTCCACCCGCGCAAACAGCTAACACCAGCTGCTGTGGAGAGAACTGCGCATTTGTTGCGGAAGTCCGCGCGGGACCTTCCCTGTCGACGACCTAATGTCCCCTATCCATGATTCATAAAAATACGGTGACTTAAAGGTTTAGTGATAGCAATAGGCAATGATTATGTATTATTTTGCTAAAATTCCATAATATCCAATGTACCGGTATATCGTGCTTTTTTTCATTCTGTAATAAAGACTATCTCATTCATTCATTAGTTCAAAGGTTATTTAAAACTCCAAAAAGCAATGCCAGTCGCGCTCGAAGTAGATACCATATGCTATCAACTTTGCTCAATTTGCGATTGAGGAAGCTGAAGTTGGTTTGCAGCGCTTTGCTTTGACAACGACGATAACAAGCATCTATTTCCTTTGGAAAACTGTAATTGGAAATTATAAATTCATAATATTCAATATGTAACAGGAAGCGAAGGAGATGTGGGCGATCAAAAAGCTTTCTCTCCACATCCTTCCGTTCTTCTCCGTTCGACGTTGCATGCTCAGGTAATTGCCTCAAAAACTTAGAGATTTACAAACTATTTTTTGAGCTACAGGATTTGCATTTTTGCCCTACTAGTCGAAAATGAAGCGCTAGGAGGAGTATTACCCGTAACCGAATTCGCAACTTTGAAATAGATTACGACAAAGCTCGCTCGCACTCGTACAATAGATGTGGAGGCCAAATACGAGTCGTCTTCTTGTCTTTAGAAAACTAAGTCCCATCAATCTGTGGGTACTTTACGAAGTCACCTTCTACGAAATTTAGGGTACTTTTCCGTTACCCGGACCCATTTTTTGAAAGGCTCTCATATTATACGTTATTTAATCTAACAAGGAATGCTTGTTTAGTCGAAGTGGCCTTTTTTGATGGCATGTATACCATATTGTAGAGCATAAAATGCTGATTCCAAATCTGCCTTCCTTATCCGCAGAACGTTTATGGACGAGAAGTTCTGAGCGTTTTTTGGAGTCAAAAATTGAACGTACAAGTGTGACAAAAATAACCGTAATACTTTTTCTAGCTCTTCAACGGAGCAATGATAATCACCAAAACACTTCACATTAAAAGTACTCTAAAATAAAAATTACACCACACTTGGTTACGTTATTTGAAGAATAGTAAGATTCTAACAACTCATTTTATTCAAAATGCACATTCAATTTTTGGCTCCAAAAAACGCTCATAACTTCTCGTCCATAAACGTTCTGCAGATAAGAAAGACAGTTTTGGAATAAGCGTTTTATGCGCTTTAATATGGTATACATCTCATTTGGAAAGGCCACTTCGACCAAACAAGCTTCCCTTGTAAGAATAATTTTTCATTCTTTAATCTAAGAATAATTTTTCATAAATCCTACGATGGCTGCTTCCTTGCCACGTGTCACGAAAAAATTGACACGTTTTGGTCCATTTCGACATGTTTTATTTTTCAAAATCATTTCCGGTGAGATAAAAGAGAATTTATGATTATTTTAAAGCTTTTTATCTGTTTCACATAGGCACAAAACAATCATCAACTTATTCTAGAAAACTTGCTTGCTTTCAGCAGTGATTTAAAGAAGTATTCCTCTTCATACGATTTGGCGTCTTAAATGACGGAATCCTAGCGCACTTCTCTATCCTGAGCAAGTCCAATCTGTTCATCGATGATAGTATGTCGTTATTATCATGACAATGTTCACTTTGCAACTGTTTGGTCGAAATGAGGTCAAAAATAACTAAAAACAGATTGAACTTACATCGCTACAGGGTAACACAAACTCTTGGTAAGATCTGTTAAACGTGTAAATAACGTCAAATTTTTGTTGACGCGTGGCAGAAGGTTGACACTCTCTCCTGTGAAGCTGGGACAGAATATGGTGCAAGGATAGAAGCAATTTCTTTCTTTGAAAAATGGGTCCGAATAACGGAAAAGTGCCAAATTTAGTCTTAATTTTGTTCCCTCTCAATCATATCAACTTGGCCAATAAACTAGCACTGGGTATAACGTCAAGTCAAAATACCTCACAAAAAAGCTCTTTTCTGGCCATTTTATTTGCCAGTAGACACAGACCGTCTCTTTTTCGATTCTATAGTTCCAAGCTTTCTAATGATCTATCGACTTTTGGAAAATAATGTTTCCCTACAAAAAATTCCTTGTTTTACGACATCTTAAAACAAAACCTTCAAAGAACTCCGTTACACGACTCTGTACCACTTTTCCCCTCCTCTTCACCCCCAGTCCCGACCGACATGTAAGCTAACTTCAACAATCACTCATGGCTCAGTACTGTCGCGGCTCCGCGATGCGAGCTCTACCAGAAGTAGGAGCCCAGGAGCACTGCTGCCTTGCTATCCGCCGACGGTTACGGTACTTTCTCACGCTTGCCGTAATTCCCTCCGGACCCCTCCTTGGCTTGGCGCGTTGCCAGCCAAAAGGCTATATATAGCGTCGGCGCCTCGTTTCAAAATCTACCGAAAGGGAATCTGCCGGGGCTCTCCCTGGTAGCAAATCACGTGTAAGGCGCCAGTTGTAGAAAATTTTTGCCAATAAACTTGAAACACTCCAATCGTTTATTTATTGATTAATGAGTTTAGTTTTCCTTTCTGCATAGAATGAGCCACAATTCTGATTACTGCAAATATTGTCCGGGCAATGCTTGCATATCTTCATCGTTTTTGGGCCCTTATCATAGCGTGGCGGATGCTCATTCACACAACCGACGCCAGCTGCGAAAAGAGTTGCCGTAAGGGGCATTCTGACAGCGATAATCTTTGTGCCCTTGTAGCAATATTAGAGCGCAAATACGTACTCCTAGATTACAGTCTCCTCAGTTCAGTTATTTGCGATTTAGATAATTGAAATTTGTTTAGCGCAAAACTTTGGCGGCAAGGAGAAAATTTCAATAATTTTCCACCGTCGAAAAGGTGTTTTTTGGTGTCTAGATCTGTATAGATCAAATATTATCGGCTAGCGATAAAATCTAAAGAAGACTTTAAAAAGCTCAAACTTTCTACTACCTTGATACAAAAAAATTTACCGTTGAAGTCCAACCGACTGAAATAATGAGTCTAGAAATGAAATTTCGAAAGTGCGCGGAAACTTCCTCAACAGCCTAATAACATCGTATTAGTAAACAGCATGCTCACTCACTCTTCTGTGCCAACAACAGCTCCGAAGCTCAAGTTTGCGGAAAAATGAAAAAAACGATGTCGATAAAGTAGCTCATGACACCCATCAGAACTAAATGGGCAAACAGCTTTCTGTATAGGATCAAATTATGCACACACGTAACCTCAACAAGTTAGTACAACATGATGACGTGCATGAACGCGATCTTACACAAACGCGTAATTTAGTTTAGCCTACATGCATCCAATGGCAAATTCAGGGGTACACGTGCAAAGTAACAGCAAACTGTGGAAAGTTGGTGGTGGTGGATGGTGTTCTCTTATTTTTCCAAATTAAAGTTCATCATTTCAAATTCTCTGCCATCATTGGTTGTCTTTTCACTAAGATGTGACACTCTGTATGTTTTTAAAATTACCGTAGAAGATGTCCATGAGAACTTTTGTTTCGGGAAAGGGGTAGAACAATTTTTAAGCATTTACAAATTTTCAGAAGAAAAAATCTGTAACTGATAAACCGTAGATAACCAGCAACATTAGCAAGGAAATTGTTTTTAGAACCAACTTTCCTTTAGCTTTCAGAAAATATATAGTTTGCTGGGCTCCTTTCAAAAAGTTTAGGGGTTTTCAATTTCATGATATTTACGAGCTTTTAAATTTGAAATAAAATCCATAACTTCTGTAGATGAACATCTTGTGCACCAAAACGGTCACCATCGGAACTGTCCTGCCCCCCACTTTCAGAAAATAAGTAGCATGTCTAGATCCGTATAGAAAGGTGCCTGCGTGAGGTGGGTGAGGCTCTCATAATAGGAGTTCTCAAGTAGACGTCTTTTTACAATGGTAAAAACGCCTCCACCTGAGAGGCTCCGGTTATAAGAGTCTCACCCACTTTTCACCAGGCACCTTTTTTAAACGGACGCACGCAGGGTATATATTTTCTGAGAGCGGAGGACGAGAAGGTTCCAAAGTGACCATCTCGGCGTACAAAATGTTCATCTACAAAATTTGTGATTTTTTATGTTAAAAACTCGAAAATCTTCAGAAATCGCTGGGCACATCCTTTACTCAGGTACTTTTTTGAACGGATCTCGGCATCTATGTAGTTGCTGAAAGCGGAGAACGAGGCGGTTCCTATGGTAACTATTTCCTTGTACAAGCTGCTCGTCTACAAAAGTTATGAATTTTTCATGTTAAAAAGTCGAAACAAGATTAGTATGTACCTGTGCAGTAGGGCAAGGAAAGAAAACATGTCTAGTGGGAAATTATGCAAAATAGACTTGTGCTCATTTTTTTTCCAAATTAAGTCGAAGTAGTGCTACACTGAGTATATGGCAAAGCTTACAATCCACATTATTTTATTTGATCCTTACATGAATCTACTCTACAATAATTTCGCTCAAGAACTTCTTCCCTTTCCGCCAATACTCGGAACAGCGTCAAAGATTCTCCCTCAAATTTCGCGTCTCAATTGACTGATACTGCTGGCCGATCAAGATGTAAAACATCAAAGTGGCAAAGACAAATTCTTTGGCAAGTATATATCCAGAATTATTCACTACAAAATGACGATTCGGTCTCAAAACTACCTTCCTCTTTTTCACGTCTAGAATCTTGATTGGAAAGCTCTGAAGCTTCAGCGCAAATCAAAAAATAAACTTACTCAAAACTTCTTTTCTAATGTAATTAGTTTGGGTGTGAGGCACAAGTGTTTTGCTGTGTACTGCAACAAAGTCTTTTGCTAGCTCATTTCTGTTGCAGCGATTATATCGCACGAAGAGCATTTTGTCGTAACTCTTCTTCGCATTGCACTACCTGAAACAGATTGCGAGAGGACTGAACGAATTGTGAAGAAAATCAGGCGAAATCTTTACCAATTTGCTGGTGCAAAAATGCCGCA